GCTTATGAGTGAGAACATGTGATACTCAGTTTTTTGTTTCTGTGATAGATCACTCAGTATTATAGCCTCTAAGTTCATCCAAGTTGCTGCGAAGTTCGTAATTTTGTCTTTCTTTATGACTGTGTAGTATTCCATTGTGTATATGTACCATGTTTTTTAAATCCAGTCCACTTTCAATGGGCAGTATGGTTGGTTCCATGTTTTTGCTATTGTGAATAATGCTGCAGTAAACATGTATGTGCAGGTATCTTTTTCACAGAATAGTTGAGTACTTCCAGGTATATTCCCAGTAGGGGGACTGTGGGGTCATATGGGAGGATGATTTTTAGATCTTTCTACAGGGGTTGTACTAGTTTATGCTCCTACCAACAGCACAGAAGTGTTCCCTTTCCACTGCATCCTCTCTAGCATCTGTTGTTTTTTGAGTTATTGATGATGGCCTTCCTGACTGAAGTTAGGTGATAGCTCAGTGTGGTTTTAATGTGCATTTCTTTGATGACTAGTGAGACTGAGCATTTTTTCATGTATCTGTTGGCTGCTAGTATGTCTTCTTTTGAGAAATGTCTATTTATATCTTTTGCCCACTTTGTAATAGGGCTGTTTTTTTTTTCTTTTCGGTATGTTTGAGTTCCTTGTAGATCCAGGATATTAAGCCTTTGTCAGACCTGGAGTTGGCAAATACTTTCTCCCTACTCTCTTGATAGTTTCTTTGGCTTTGCAGAAGCTTGTCAGCTTAATAAGGTCCCACTTGTCTATCTTCTCTCTTATGACCTGTCGGTTTCAGGTTTTGTTCAGGAATTGAATACCAGTTCCAATTTCCATGAGGGTATTTCCTTCCTTTTCTAAGGTTCTTATGGTTTGAGGTTTTACATTTAGGTCTCTGATCCATTTGGAGTTAACCTTTGTGCATGGGGATAGATAGGGGTCCTGTTTCAATCTTCTGCATGTGGTCAGCCAGTTTTCCCAGCACCATTTACTGAATAGGTTCTCCTCTCCCCCAGTGGTAGATGGTGGGGGCTTTGTCTAAGATGAGTTGGTTGAGGAATTGAGGTTTTGCTTCTGGAATCTCAATTCTGTTCCATTGATCTATATAGCTGTTCCTGTACCAATACCAAGCTGTTTTGATGATTGTAGCTTTATAGTAAAGTTTGAAGTCTGGAAATGTGATACCACCTGCTTTGTTTTTTTTACTGAGGATTGTTCTGGCTATTCTTGGACGTTTGTGTTTCCATATGAATTCCTGTGTTGTTTTTTCTAGGTCTGAGAAGAATGTTGTTGGTAATTTAATGGGTATTGCATTGAATTTGTAGATTGCCTTAGGTAAGATGGACATCTTCACAATGTTGATTCTTCCGATCCATGAGCATGGGATATTTTTCCACTTGTTCGTGTCAGCTTTGATTTCTTTGAGCAGTGTTTTGTAATTTTCATTATAAAGGTCTTTCACGTCTCTGGTTAGGAAGATGCCAAGGTATTTCATTTTTTTTGTGGCTATTGTGAATGGAATTGTGTTTTTTATTTGGGTTTCTGTTTGTTTATTATTGGTGTAGAGAAATGCGATTGTCTTTTGTACATTTATTTTGTATCCTGAGACTTTGCCAAAGGCCTTTATCAATGTAAGGAGG